GGCAAATGGACAAAGTTAACCCAACATTGTTGGCTACAACCCAAGTGTCTTCTTTTTAGCACTCGTGTGGCCAAAGTGAATTTGGGCCTCAACGGAATTGTGAGGACAATATAATATCCCAACAACTACGTCAATGGAGTCCTAAATTTCTCTTTTAAAGCACCCGTGACCAGTGGCGGAACCAGCTTCGTAATCTTGGAGGGGCACATTATCTCAGAAGGCTCGACTCTTTACTACCTTTAGAAATCTGTGTACAAAATCGATTCATATGAATTCTTTGTCAACCTTGAGCATGACTATCCACAACAACAAAAAATAACAAGCTCAGTTGAGTCATAGTGGTCGCTAGACACCTCAAAAAAATAATGCTCTCGATCAGTCGCTAGACCTAGTGGTCGCCAACGTTATTAACTTATTCTGACTTAATTCCGGCGAATTCCAAAGAAACTCTCTCAATGTAATCAACCCTCCAAGCTTCAACGTTAGTAGTCGAGCTCATAAATATATTACTCCCTTTGTTTTGTTAAGATTTTCTTACATTTTCTTTTCAGTCTGCCTCATTAACATTGATCAATATCAAATTTGATTGTGGTTCTAAATTATTTTTGCATTCAAAAGTTGATTGTCGACCACCCTGTATAGTATATATGTATAGAGTCATTCTCCTATCCAGCAGCCCCCGGTCCGAACGTCGTCCGAACAACGCCGTTTGTTGAGGTTCCAAGTGGAAGTTTTTCATGAAATATTTTTAGCATGTTCCTCATCAAGTCTAGTTTATTCATACCAAATTTCAGCTAAAATTTCGATCGTGAAGGCAGTCAAACAATTTGTTGAAGTTAACAGCGCCAAATTATACATAGAAAAACGCAGTTAACTTCAAAAAATTATTTTACTGCCTTCCCGATCGAATTTTAATCCGAAATTTAGTATGGATAAACTAGACTTGATGAGGAACATGCTCAAAAGAATTCATCAAAATATTTCACCGGGAACCGCCCCAAATAGCGGTGTTCGGACGGCGTTCGGACAGAAACATGTTGGACCTGAAAATTTCTCTATATATATAATAAAAAGATATCTGCAGAGCCGCAGGGGCACAAGCACCCCCAAGCTCTAGTGTAGTTCCGCCCCTGCCCGTGACATCTTCTACTCTAGGTTAGTTGGACAAAAAGTACAACAATAATTACCAAAATGGATGCTTCACAATAACGGGCTGATATGGAAATGGTATTTAGAACATGTAACACCCCGACCCCATAGGGTTCAATATTGTTACTCTTGCATGCTATTCAAACATAGTACTTTTCTCAAAACATACAAGCCTTTTCTCGCACACGTTGTCTTCATTCGTACGTGCTCGCCTTGATAAGCTTCTTAGACTACTTTTGTGAAAGCATGTTTAATGGCAAAGATCTTAATAGATGAGCTTCTTAAAATAAAGTGTACCTTATTAGTGTGAGCAGTGTTTTTTTATCCTTTTGAGATCATGCATGAGTGAGCAGATTGGAAGGCTAGCTATTATAAGTACCAGCAACAAAGGCTGGGAGGAGTTTTTGAATCGATAAAGGCAGCTAAAAATAATTTTCATCAAACCTATTGTGTACATTATGATTGTTGATGTAAGAATATCTCTTCTCAATTATTGCTTGTAATTTTAAACGACAATCCGCAAAAATATAATTTATATTTGCAATTCTATTTTCAATGAGATAACCTATTCTAGTATGCAATTTTTTCTAATCTCGAACAATAATATCACATCCTTTTTATTGTGAAAAGAATATATTTTGTAATGTGAAATAAGTAATTAATTTTTGCATGCTTATGACTTGTTGAAAAATTCTTAACTCATATGATTAGTATTGGGGTTTAATTTTCAATTCAAGGAGAAAGGTCAGTGAATGCGTAAATGTCATCTCTGTAATAGGAATTATGAATATGAGTTAGTTTTTATTTGTTTTAATGTAAGTTTAACAACAAACATAAAATGAATGAATTCATCCGTGTAACATAAATAATGTTAATGGTTCCTTCAGTGTCTATTAGCTTTATGGTGATTGTTATACTTGGTAATTGATGATTATTGTAATGCCCTATTTTTTTCCAACACACGATCAACACATGTAGGACTTGAAGGACTTCCATCATGATTTGACCCGGATGAGGTTGGGACTATTAAAATTCTCAACAAGAAATCATTACGTTTTCTCAATAACATCTATTAAAATAAACTCATACACCGAGTATATTATGACATGTAAAACTAAATAAGAGCTTTCTTGGTCGTATAGATGTGAAGGTAGGATGCAGTGTAGCCAAATCAAAATGTTTCTTTACATACATATGATGAGAAAACCTAAAGGTTCCAATTAGATCTTAGGAAACATTATGGCAAGAGCTACAAAGGAAAATATAGAAGCAAATGAAAACGAAATAAAATGTTGGGTGAAATAAAAGATAGGCTACCACTCAATGAACTTACTTTAGATATTTGTTGATTATTTATTTAATCTATAGTTTAAAATTTAAATGTGATTTTTAAAAAATAAAAATGTTATTTTCCATGGTAGAACCATAAGAAAATAGTTTTTCTTGGCATTTTTTTACATTTCCCTATCATTTCCTGTGAGCCAAGCATACCCGGCATTTAAATAAAAAGAATACACCTGGGTACTAAACTGCAGCCCATAAGCCCATTTCCTTTCAAATAGAAACTGTTTTCACTCATCAATTGGTTGATAGCCAATAGTTCCAGCCAACTGTTGCTCAGAAGGTAATCCAACATAATCATTTGAGTTTGAATGGTTCGAACCATATTCCTGCAGAAAAGCACATACTAAACTATGAATATTGGAATTTTCGAGAAAGCAAAAATAGCAATAGAATTATGAACAAAGGGAAAAATACCCCAATATTACCATTTGTGTTTTTGTATCAATTGTATGACCAAACATATCATGTCATACATAGGCGCACGAACTAAAGGAAATAAAATACCGTAATTGCCCTTCCAATTAAGCCAAAAGCCCAGAAACGGAAAAGCAAGAAGGGAGAAACGTGTGCCGTAAAAATTGGGCTGCTAAAACGGGTATGCCGTACTAACCGCCTCCTTCTATGGTAACGAGACTGTAACGCCATATTCGCAGGGATAATTTCATTTGAATTGTGTGAGAGAGAGGCGGCGTCTAATGAAGCAATAATGACGAAGACGACTCCGAAGCGGGGAAAAAGTGCAGTGAAGAATACTTTAAAAATACTTTGAAAGGGTTTTCCTGTATTTAAGAATACTTTGAAAGGTAAAACAAGGTGGGCTGCTATGGGAGGGGTAAAGAAGGACGCATATCTTAGGGGTTTTTTTTAATGGAAATAGCAGGTGTCATGAAATAGACATTGTAATTGTTTTTATTTTGGGGGGTTGGTGGTTGATTTGGGTGTTTGGAATGATTTGGGAGCAGTAATGTGGTAGGGACGGTGTCTGAAGTTAGGTCATTATGTTTGTTCTGCAAATAAAGGTGGTTGGGCATTATAAGCGTAGGACAGTGTGTGATGCTGGTGTTTGGTTTTGTGCATTATATTTTAGGGAATTACAGGTGTTTCGTTTTGGGCAATACAAAGTAGGCAGTATAATATGTAGGACAATGTGTTGGGGTTGTGTCTGTGAACGTGCATTATTGTTAGGGAAGTAAAAGTCGTTTATGTGTAATAGATTAAAGGCGGTAAGATTTTTGTTGTGATATGTATGTGCCTAATTAGCAGCCTTGCTTCTGGAGTATTTTTTAATGGTGTTTATGATTGAGCATTAGTTGTAGGGAAATATTCTTTAAACCAGCTGCTATCATATCAGTACGTGCGAAGAGAAATGTACTGCAGTTCCTTAGGCATTAAGATGTTTGAAATCTGGATGTTTTTTGTGTTGCAGGAGTATGTGAGGACGACTGAGTGTGATAACTTTGTTATTGAAAAGTCTATGAAAATAAATAGCTATTGCAATACAATAAAGGTGGCTGGGCATAAAAAAAATAAAAAAATAAAAATAAAAAATAAAAATAAAATAAAATAAAAAGGTGGCTGGGCATTATGAATTAGGCATTATAAGCGTAGGACAGTGTTTGATGCTGGTGTTTGGTTTTGTGCATTATATTTTAGGTAATTAAAGGTGTTTCGTTCTGGGCAATATAAAGTAGGCAGTATAATATGTAGGATAGTGTGTTGGGGTTGTGTTTGTGAACGTGCATTATTTTTAGGGAAATAAAAGTCGTTTATGTGTAATAGATTAAAGGCGGTAAGATTTTTGTTGTGATATGTATGTGCCTAATCAGCAGCCTTGCTTGTGGAGTCTTTTTTGAATGGTGTTTATGATTGAGCATTAGTTGTAGGGCAATATTCTTTAAACTCTCAAGTCTCAACTCTTTGCTGAAAAAAATGAATAAAGAAAAACTTATTAAAATCAATTAACAATGAATAAAGAAGTGTCATCCATTCATAGCATTTAATTAACGGTGAATAACAAAGTGCCTTAATAAAAGTACGACAGAGTGCATTGCAACGAATACGACAAATAATTAAAAACTTTTTTTAACCCATGTGTAGCGGAATAGGATTCCTACAAGTCTTTCTATTGTGTCCAATCATGAGGCAATGAGTGCATTTTTGTCTCCGAACATGTTCTCCTGTAGAAGGAATTCTTCTTTCCTTCGGCCTTCCAGGAGGTCGTGATTCACATGATGGGGGGCTGCAAGTGATTTGCTTTACATGTGAAGGTACCATCCAACCATCCGGACTCCCAATAGGATGAATAATATCGCGGTATGTTTGTGCCCAATGATGTGCTGTATAGAATTCTGAAATGTAATCGTAGCAAGAAAATCCTGGGCGGGAGCGAATAGCTGCAATGGCATGTACACATAAAAACCCATCTAGCTGAAATTCTCGACAACTGCACGTCCGCTCCTTCAAGTTGACAACATAAGAGCGGGATCTCTTATCAAACACCTCAAACTCAAAAACACATGATGGTTTGACCTGCAAAATTTATTATTAAAAATTAAAAACTATAATTAAATGTTGTCAGCAATAAAAGTAATTTAATATCACATGAAGTGAGTATATTTAAAAAAAATGAGTGCAATGAAGACAATGAGTTGAGGGCAATACTCTCATGACGGCTGCCATAGCTTGTAAAACTGCTAGTTCAGATTCAAAGTGTGCAGATAAACGGCAATTGTTTGACGATGAAGATTCTCGCCGTTCACAAAACCACTTTTGCATTCGTGCAATAATAAACTCAATCAACTTACATATTGGGTATTCTCGGGCAGTGGCATTAACCGCATTTAATGACTCCGCATTGTTTGACATCATGACCGAGTACCGATTTCGACTAGCATAAGCATGAGACCATTTGTGGTGGCCCATCCGCTCTAAATACGTACGAATGCGTGGATCCTCACTATCCAGCATTTGAAGGTACTCTTCACACTCATACACAGATCCAACACGAGCAGCCTGCAAAAACTTCCATGACACAGTTTTTTGAGTGCCACGAAATCTTGTTTTCAAATTAGCCAATATGTGGTAGACACAGTAACCATGCTCCGCATGAGGAAATACAGAACGCACAGAGGTAATAATGCCCTCGTGCCGATCAGAAACAATATATAGATCATCCCTATGCATTAGCGAATGCTTCAACATGCTGAAGAACCATGACCAATTTTCAGTATTTTCTCCACTACAAATACCGAATGCCAATGGAAATATTTGTTTGTTTGCATCTTGTGTACATGCAGTGAGTAATGTACCCTTATAATACGACTTCAAAAAAGACTCATCCACAATTATAACCGGAATGCAATTAATCCAACCTTCCCTCCATGCAGAAAGGCACATGAAAAAATTAATAAACTCGCCATTTTCCTTGCACGAATAAGAAACTATAGAACCTGGGTTACTCCTTTCAAGCACATGGCACATTGAAGGTAAGCGTGCATATGAATCCTTTTCAGATCCCATAGCCAGTTCCATTGCCATTTCTTTGGCAACCCATGCTTTTTTATATGACATGTAAATGTCGTATTTGGTCTTCATATCAAGCATAATTGATTTCGGAGGGTATGGCTTATTGGATGCATCACCGTACTCATGTTTGACAAGTTCGGCAATAATCCTAGACGTAGCCTGACGGCTATTTCGTTGACGTACATCAATGGGGCATGTGTGCTCAGAGTCAAATCTGGAAAAACATGTTTAATGAAGGGCATTAACTTATGTTTAAAATTTTTTTTTGGGGGTGGGGGGGGGGGGGGCGGGAACACAACAATGAATGCACATGCAACAAGAAATTTAAAATGTATGACGAAAACAAACAGTAACAAGTAAAGAATATTTTAGGTATATGTTGATAGAATTAGGCAATATACTGAAAAATCATATGAATAGCGTACATAATAATATACTAGTGCAAAGAGGGCATTAAAAACATAACACAAGGTGCAGTGTGCGATGTGGGATTAAGTAAACTTTCAAGCATTATATTTTATTAAATGTAAATGCACAGTGCATTAAACATGTCGTTAAAAGAATACTGTTAGCATACAAAAAAAAATTAATGCACAATCCAGGGCATTACAACCTATGCACAGAACTTACTGCAAACGCAGGGAATTATAAGAGCTGAACAAAGGACATTAAAGCATATGTCTGACTTACAATACTGATTTCATTTTCCTTATACTTTTTTTAAAAACAACAAAACAGTGACCCAATAAAAGAACATCATAAGGCCATTAATTGTATATACCGTGGACAATTCAAATATTTGTTTTTTTAACAATACACCTTAGGGCAGTAATAGACATGCATGTCATGTAACTTGGAGAAATGACTGCATACCTTTTCACTTGAAACAATGACACTCCGTCAATGTGCACACCACGCATAGCCCACTTGCAGTCTGGGTCCACACACCCAACATGCAAAACCTTCGGGCAAGATGTCTTCGTTCTATACTGAAAGAAGTTGGTAATGGCATACATCTTTAGGTGAAAATCAAGTTCCTTCTTGCTTCCATAGATACTATTCAATGCAATGCGCGTGGGTTCAAAATGGTTGAGTACGGGCATATTATGAATCTCTTCATCAACCCGAGAATTTAACCTCATAATGTCGGCACTCGAAATATGCTCAAATTCAAAGTCCATATCAAGACTGTGAGTGAAATTATTGTCTTCGCCATCACACCCACCACGCGAACAGCCACCACGCTCTTCCACTTCACTCGAATGGTCAAATACACTTTCATTGTCAATATCAACACCTCCTGTGATGCTTTGTTCCTCTCCACTCGTAGCATCGCGACCTCCTCACCGGAGAAAAATTCAACACACAACGGCATTTGCATCGGGTCCTTTTGAAAACTCTTCAATTGTAAATAAAAGTGTAGACCATCGTCATCACATACATTAACGGGAGGTGGGCAAGTAGCAAAAACGTATGAAATCTTAATATTCTTCCCGGCATAATTCTTACCCATAGCAGCGCAAACACGAGAATATAGAGAATCATACGTACAATTTGAAGGTATAGTTAAACCGGCAACATGAATACTAGAGAACAAAGTATTTGAAACCCATTGGCCATCATATTTTATCATAATCCACACTTCCGGGTAACCTACTGGGACGAAATCCATGGATACTGCTTCACTTCAAAGATGAAATGATTTCCGGTGAAATGATAGACGTGAGGTGGGGAAGATGAACACACAGTTCGTAAAAGAGGAATATATTTACCGCTGACGATACATTCACGTTCAATTAATTATTTCCGTATGTATCAGAATTTCCCATTAATAGTGCGGCAGTTATCCGGAAAGGTAGTTACTATACCGCTGATCATGCTCCAGTACAATACGTCGTATGCTTGTCGATCACCTATTTTTGGATGAAAAAATCAAATCATTAATTAAATGAAAGGATAGAATTGGTATTAAAAAAAATAAAACACACGTGGATGGAAGATGATGATGTCCAGTCATGTATTAGGAAAAATGATGAAGGCAGTCATACATTGGGAACTACGTGATGTTTTAGTTATATACGTGATAAATTTCTCTATGAACAAATGTATGTCACATCCATTGATTTGGGCTTCAGAATAGAGAAGCCCAAGTTGAGAACTATTGTATTGTGATGGAGTCTACGACACCAATCTCTAAAGCCCCCAAACACATAAGATTCTTCTTATACATTTTAATACATCTTTCCAAAAAGAGTCTTGTTGCACCAAGGACTTCAAAATTTTAGTTTTTTTGGGGGAGGGGGGGGGGGGGGGGGGTGGATTTAAGAATTACATCACCTATCACGAAAATCAACTTCTTTTATTCAAAAATGACTCTTTCTAGGACAAAATAAGTTTTCAAATAGAACTCATCTGCTGGTGACAAAAAAAAGGTTTATATCAATCAGCCAATACAATTATAACGAGGTCTCTTATAACATTACGACATTCTCTAAATTGTTTAATTCGATGAAGAAGTGGTGTATCCCATCCTGTAAAACTAGCGTCGTGATAGTAAGACCATGTCGCAATAATCACTGGTGGCAACAGAGCAATGGAGCATTGTCGTCAAGTCAGATTTGTGCATATCATATGGTAATTTGAAAATAATTGTGTCATTTCGCAATGTGAACCTTTAGAAGAGACAAATGTAATGTTATTTTAAGTTATGTCTCCAAAAAAATAAATCATTTGAAAGTTACAAGATGTACATGTACCTGAAATCTGTGTAAGTACCTTTTTTATTCAGGTACACAATTCAAGTGTAACATAATTACAAAAAATTGTAAGAATAATTTAAATCTTAATCATAGAATAATTGAATCATAAAAGTTAAAGACTTTGTGCAATTAAGAGATAGCTAGAATCATATAACTAAGTACATAGGAGTTCATGTGTGTGAAATTGAAGAGGTGTTCTTTAAAATAAAGATATTTTTGTTCTTATATCTTTTAGTTTAATAAAAATATATATATGTTATTTCTTACACCTAGTTTTTTTGTTATAAATGGTAAATGCACAGAACAACTATAATTTTAAAAGAAGAAAAGTAAACAAAAAAATTAGAAGGAACTTGGGGACGCGCGGAGAAAAAGTACGGCAAAGGCGCTAATAAAGTAATAAGCTAATCCGTTATTGCTCAATGTACTCTGTATGAGATATGGGGTACAATGTAAACAAACGGATTATGAAATAAAAAAACAACATGATGTGTAGGGTAAAGCAGTCCATGTCAGAAATAAAAGAGGTGCACTTAGAAATTCGTGAGGTGCGCGGAGGTCCTTTTTTAAATAACAAAAAAAACAGATATCCTATTAGAATCCACTTACAATTTCGTGATGGTGTGTCTTCTAATGGAATGCAAGGTAAAATGGTGAACAAATCACATCTGTATGAGATATTTTATTGAAACTTCAACATGTTCACAATAAGCCTGATAAGCTGAAAATCAATGTTACCAAACGGCCTCTAAGTGCTAAACATAAATATCAGCCAGCCTGCCATGTGAAATCATGAGGCGGTATTTATAGACCGATAGTGGATTGCAGAAGTCATGTGTCTGTTCATCATTGATTAGCTATCAAATCGGGAGATCTTTAATAGTGAAATAATTAGAAATTAATTATTAGTCAGTTTCCTTATTGTACTTGGACACTTATTACCTATAAATATACTCTCAGGGCTACCAGTCTGGTTAAGCCTGTTCATTATTCTCATATGGTATCAGAGCTAAATCCATAAATTGATCTTCTTGCCTATACCGGCCCGTGGTCCTTCTTGCCAAGAGAATGGCTTTCCTCAATATAGAAGTAGTAGCTATGTTAATCTTGGCATGCTCGTTTGGTCATGATCTCCTTTGTACTAGATATTACAATGACCCCATGTCGAGAATCTTGATGATCCCTGGCTTGAGTTGAAGGCAATTGGTCGCTTCCCACCCTTGTGCATCATTTGGATTGGTTGCTTACTTGCTTGGCCACTTGATCTGACTAGTAATTTTGGCACTAGTCTTGCTCGGGTGTAACATGGCAAATGGACAAGTTAACCCAACATTGTTGGCTACAACCCAAGTGTCTTCTTTTTTAGCACTCATGTGGCCAAAGTGAATTTGGGCCTCAACGGAATTGAATTGTGAGGACAATATCCCAACAACTACGTCAATGGAGTCCTAAGCTTTTTGTTTAAAGCACCCGCGACCTCTTCTACTCTAGGTTAGTTGGACAACAAGTACAACAATAATATCCAAAAACAATAATGGGCGGATATGGAAATGGTATTTAGAACATGTAACACCCCAACCCCATAGGGTTCAATATTGTTACTCTTGCATGCTATTCAAACATAGTACTTTTCTCAAAACATACAAGTCTTTTCTCGCACACCTTGTCTTCATTCGTACGTGCTTGCCTTGATAAGCTTCTCAGAGGGTCACCAATCCTAAGACTACTTTTATGCAAGTATGTTTGATGGCAAAGATCTTAATAGATAAGCTTCTTAAAATAATGTGTACCTTATTAGTGTGAGCATTATTTTTTTATCCTTCGGAAAATTTTTAAAAGGCTAACTATCGAGCTTAACCAAAACCTTTCTGAAAATAAGAATCTAAAATCACAAATCACTGAGCTTGAATCTAAACTCGAGGAAACCACACGAGCAAAGCTAAGGCTTGAAACTAAAGTGGGAGAGTTAACAGATGAGAAACTTAAATACAGTGAAGTTGTTTTAGAACAAGACAATATTATCTGTTCTTTGAAGCTCGATAGCATGAACCAACAAGTTGATCAAAGTGAGAAACTTCTTTCAAAAAATCCGAACATTGGTGTGCTGATTGAACACCTTAATCGCCTTGAGGCCGAGAGACAAGATTTCAAAAATAAACCGGAATACTAGCCGTATAGTACCAAAGATAGAACCAGGTCTAGACCTCATTCTAGAACTGGACCGTCTCGGTACAAAAGAATGGAAAACGAGACTGCTGGTCTCGGATATGTTCCAAGAAATACTCAAATAAATCAAAGACCTAGTTTTCAGAACCAACCCTTTAATGGTAATAGAACTAGAGGACAAACTAGTTCTAGGCCGTATCAAAGGCAATCTAGAACTGGAACAACCTGGTTCGATAGATTGGTTCAAAAGCACAAAACTGGTTATGGACAAACACCTAACCGAGAGTTTTA